GCCAGCATCTGTCGAGTGTGAGGAGGTGTGAGGAGGAGGAGGAGGAGGAGGAGGAGGAGGAGGAGGAGGAGGAGGCGGCCTGAGGGACGTGGGCCAAGGGGGCCCTGTCGCGCCCGATCCGCCTGTGTCCTGGAGGCGTGAGAAGAGAGGAAACCACAGAATTTGGGGAACGTTCCGTCTTCGTAGCTGCTGAAAACGAAGGTGCGCGGCGCTGAACCGAGAGCTGCGATGTGTCAACCACCAGTCATCCACCCCCGGCCTCGGGACAGAAGTTGGCAAGGAAGTCTGAAGCGAAAACTCCTGGCACGGCCTGCGGGCACGTCTGGTGGTGCGACAGGGGGGGATTAGTTGCAAAGAAGAGGCATGGAGGATAGGAGAAGGAGAGGAAGGAGGAGAGTGAGGCCGGCGAGGAGGAGGAGGAGGAGGAAAAGGTGGAGGAAAAGGTGGAGGAGGAGAAGGAGGAGGGAGGGGGGGAAAGGACTGGAGGGGGAAGCGGAGGCGGATTAGCTGGAGGAGGAGGGCGGAGGAGGATGAGGAGGAGGAGGAGGAGGAGAGCAAGGAGGAGGAGTAGGAGGAGGAGAGAGGAGGAGGAGGAGGAGAGGGGGAGGAGGAGGAGGAGGAGGAGGAGGAGGAGGAGGAAGGAGGAGGAGGAGGAGGAGGAGGAAAACAACGGGGGGGACGACAATGAGGAGGAGGAGGAGGAGGAGAAGGAGGAGGAGGAGGAGGACGAGTGGAGTGGAGCGGAGTGGACGCCATCACGAGGTGATATGTCAAAACATAAAAACCCCACACTGCCAGGGCCTATACAGTGTGTTGGGAGAGAGCTAGTGCACCTCGGCCGCTCCAAAACTCAGAAGGCCGAGGAGGGGAGGGGACGCTCAGAGGTGCACGTACACGTCCAACGCCTCCAGGACCAGCCCCCCCCGAGGGGAGGGGGCCCCCCTGCCACCCGCCAGGCACGCCAGGCGCTGGTCGGGGACACAGGACACCCCTCGCCACCAGGCGGGGCACCTGGTGCGAGTCTCGGGGCGGGTGCCCTGGCCTGCTCCCCCCAGTCCCCTTGCCCAAGGGGGACAGAGCAGGACTCCCCGTGAGCCTGGCCGAAGCCAGACCCCCCCTCCACACCCTGGCGCGACCGGGGAGCCGCCGGGCCAAGACAGTGGAGGGGACCCGATTCGGCCGTAGCCGAATCGGGATTACCGTTTAGGCCCGAAGGCCGGGGTCGGTGCCCCCTACTGCCGAAACCACCCACCCGCCCACGGCTATGCCGTGGGAGGGTGGGTGGTTTCAGCAGTGGCGCAGCCCCCATACAGGCCACGACTAAGCGGGTTTCAGTTCCCCCGGGCGCGGGGAGGTGCGGAGGAGGAGGAGGAGGAGGAGGAGGAGGAGGAGGAGGAGGAGGAGGAGGAGGAGAAAGGAGGAGAAAGGAGGGGGGAGGGGGGAGGGAGGAGGAGGAGAGGAGAGGAGGAGGAGGAGGAGGAGGGATGGGGGAGGGAGGAGAAGGAGGAGGAGGAGGAGGATGAGGAGGAGCAGCAGCAGGAGGAGGAGGAGAGAGAGGAGGGGGGAGGGAGGGAGGAGGAGGAGGAGGAGGAGGAAAGGAGGAAAGGAGGGAAGGAGGGAAAGGAGGAGGAAAGGAGGAAAGGGCGGGCCGTCTCGGAGGGATCGGAATTCCCCCGGCCTTCTCTGAGGAATTTCCCAAGCCTTCCCCGCAGACATCGAAAACCTCTCAGAACGCCGCAGGCCCTCTTCGCCGCCTCCTGAGAAGGCCTTCTCCTTCTCTCTTTTCCCCCCCTCGCTCGCCGCCGAAAAAAGGCTGAGCCAGTTCGACAACTCCGCAGACCGTGGCGCAGTGGCAGCAGTCCGAGCGAAAAGGGCTCACCAGAGCAATCCAGAGTGAGTACGAGAAGCGCAGCACACGGGCGAGGCAGGACGGCTCCCAGTGCAAGAGGAGGGGGGGCAAGTGGGCGTCGCTGAATGGGGGGGGGCGATACAGCCGGACCTAGGGCAGAAGAACCTCCCTCAAGAACACGAGACCCTCCGCCGGCCAAACACCCTCACCCAGGATGCACCAGAACATCCAACGGACACGGAGAACACCAGGGCACCCTCCCTGAACCGACCTCGATCTCACACCTCGGTCCGACTGCAGGTGGGGGGAAGACGAAAGGTGCACGTCTCGGGCCCCGACGGCCCCCATTCCGGCCCCTGAAGGGCCCCTCAAGGGCCCTTTTGCTGCAGCCGTCGCTGCTCCCCCCCCCCAACCTATCGCTCCCCCACGGCGCGACGCCCACGGCGGGTGCCGAGCGCGACGGCCGGGCAGCAGGTCTCCTCGAATGCCAGAACGGTGGCGTTGAATTTGTCGACCGAGCCGCCGCTGGAAGGGTGAGCCTCGGCGAAGGCAGGCGGGCGGGGGGGACGGGGGAAGAGGAGGCGCAGCAGGAGCAGCATCGGGAGGCGGAGGGACGCGAAGGGAAGCGGGCGGGGCATGAGAACGATGAGGACGAGAGTGCGCCAGAGAGTGAGGGCGAGGACGGGGATGAGGGTGACGAGGATGACGAGGATGACGAGGATGACGAGGAGGTGGGTGGGCGAGAGGGCGAGGGCGAGGACGAGGACGAGGGCGAGGACGAAAGCAGAGCACAAGGGGGACTGCAGCATTCACATGCTTACTCCCAGCCTCATCCTTCTCATTCTCTTCCTCCTCACCTTCATCCTCATCGACCTCCTCCACATCCTACTCATCCTCACCGTCGTCCTCATCGTCATTCTACTCCTCGTCAGCATTATCCTTCTCATGATTCCCGTCCTCTTCCTCCTCCTCCTCCTCCTCCTTCTCCCCCTCCTCCTCCTCCTCCTCCTCCTCCTCCTCCTCCTCCTCCTCATCTTCATCATCACCACTGTACGTATCATCTCCTTCATCCTCATCATCGTCATCATAATCATCTTCATCAGTCCCTCATCTCCGCCCCGTCGCCGCCGCGTCGCTGCCCGACGCCGCCAGTGGACTGCACCACATAGATTGAACGAAAAGCCGCGTCTGCGAGGCGCTTCTTGATCGATCACAACGTATACTGCGCCACACACCCACACACACACACACATTGCACACCATAGATTTCACCACATCGATTGCACAACATAGAGTGCACAAGCACATGGATTGCACCATATACTTTGCACAACATGGAATGCATCAGCCACGTTACTCAATACATACAGTCGGACTTGATTGGACAGGACGCGCAAGAGGACACAAGACCCTTTCAAGGGCCACGTTGCCATAGGAATGTAGGAGGCATGGGTCGCGAGATACAGGACACAAGGGTACCCTTCATTTGGCAGGGTCGAGCTACTAATCTGGGCCGACTGTATTGCACAACATAGTTTGCATAAGATAGGTTGGCCCACATATATTGCACCACACAGAAAGGCCCACATAATTTGCACCACGGGAACTCTCCGCCCCAAGAGAGTCTTAGGATCTACCCACCCGGAATTAACTGCCCCCATTTTCGTTTTGTGATTCAAATGCGATTCTACCCCATCGTCCATCCGAAATATGAATTCTCCCCCTCCTCATTGTGTGCAAAGATACTATGCGCGCGCACTCGTTTATCAAAACTCAGAAAGGTTTTCACAAATCCCGTGCAAACAAAATGGGACGATGTGCAAACGCGCGAGTCGTCGCGCGCGCAGCCGAAACTTTTCAAGAGCCGTATGTTTGGTATGGATTTTCAAGATGCAGCGTCCCGAAAACAAAGTTGCTTCAAACAAAAAGGCTTCGCAACACGAGCTGCAAAAATTCACGCTCGGTCTCTTGCGAATTCTGAAAACCATAGGCTTGTCAACATGTTCATGCTTGCTGCCACACAGGGCCTCTCGCGCGCGAATGCCTGAATCGCTCGAGCGCCCTTGCGCGCGCGTGCTGTCGCAAGGATCCCTAGCAACAAATGTGACGAAGTGCACACGCACGCGTCGTCGCGTGCGCATGCCTGATTCATTCGGAAACCTTACGCTGGGATTCCAAACTCGAATTTCCGAAAGACAGATTCGTGCAGCACAAGTTTTCAAAAATGCCTGCGCTCTCGCCCCTGCGAATTTTCAAGAAAACCACAGGTTGTTCAACAATTTCTTCAAATTCAACCGAACGGGCTGCTCGCGCCGCACGCCGAGATCATTCGATGACAATCGGAATCGACTTCCCAGACTCACCCATAATTCCAGAAAGCTTCCGGCGACGACGACGACGACGGACGACGACGAAGGACGACGACGACGACGGCGACGAGCGACGAAGATGGACGACGACGGACGTCGACGACGACGACGACGACGCCGACGACCACGACGACGACGACGACGACCGACGACGACGACGACGACGACGACGACCACGACGACCACGACGGACGACGACGACGACGACGACGACGACCACGACGACGACGACGACGACGACGACGACGACGGACGACGACGACGACGACGACGACGACCACGACGACCCCGACGACCACGACGGACGACGACGACGACGACGACGACGACGACGACGACGACGGACGGACGCACCCCCTCCCCCCCCGACGACGAAGACGGACACAACCAGGACGACGACGACGACGACGACGCGACGACGCGACGGACCTACGACCACGACGACACGACGGACGACGACGACGACGACGGACGGACGACGACGGCGACGGACGACGTCGTCCACGACGACGAGACG